TGAAAACCCTAATGGTTAAATAAGTTTTTCTTTTTTTTTTGGTCGAAATGGTTAATTAGTTCGCATAGACATTTTGTGCCCAAAATAAAACAAAGCTTTAGGAGTATAATTCATAAATCACACATAGACATTTTTCCTAGTAACCAAGGATATGAATCATCCTTGAGGCCTAAAGTGAGAATGTGAAATTACCCCTTTGTTCATCTCATGCATGAGATGAACAATGAAAGCTGTGAATTCTAGCATTCACAACTTCTTTTCAAGCAAAAACATCCAAAAAACTTTCTTCATATACAAAATGATAGAAGCACGCCGCGTTGCGTTGCCTAACTGCGATCTATCTCGTATGAAGAGACTTCTGGACTGCTAGCATCTTGGTAAGGCTGTGGCGATGGGATCACCTTGCATCGTAGGTAATGCAAAGTAGTAATGGCGACGCTCAGAGAGAACCAGCATTGATCATCCCATCCCCACCATTTTACCAAGAACAAAATACAATGCGACCAGAAGATGTCACGTCCTTTTCTTTGTAAGGTAAGCTGCTTCACGAAGCCGGCACATGGTCGTTACATAAACTAGACTAGTGTCCATATACAATGTCGAAGTTGGAGGATTTTTGTCTATGGCGATTAGACCTTGTCGTCTTTGAGGCGTGGAGAGTATCTCTTAATCATTGTCAGTCGTTCTAATGAGTAATGAAAGAAGGAAGAGCCGGTCTTTTGTCGTGATATTAGGTATTTATTATGAAGAGAGAGAGAGCGAGTCATGGGCTTCCCAATAATTGTCGTAGGTTCGCACATTGGTGTACTCATTCTCTCCAAGTGATTCTCCTTCTATTTGGTCCTTCCAAGCTCCACAACGTTCTCATGTCCCCCTCGCCTGTTCGAATCTTATTCTCCAATTGCAAATCAAGGAAGCCTTGCACTAACACGGACGTCTTATCACTAACATCATCTGCATACGAACTTATAAATGTAGGGGATATTAAGTCCCCACAATGAAATACACGTATTGGTTCACACAGGACATTCTGTCCTCTTTAAAATACATGGGAGTATTTCCGAAATTTCAAGGTCGCACGACCTCGGATTGGAGGTCACGCGAGCTCGAAAGCGGGGTTGTGCCTCTATCTCGGACCAGAGACGGACCTTGGCGGGTGGTGGCGCGACCTCGAAATTGTGATGGTGGTTGTCGCTTTGGTTGTAGGTGGTTGAGGTGCGGCTCACTTTGGGCCCTATGTATTTGCTTATCTTTTCATTCCATCTGTCATTTCCTTATTGACTATGGATTTTTAATGTTAGTTAATGCCCCGTTTGTTTCGCAAAAAATGAGTGATTTAGAAAATATTTTCCTAAAAAATGATCATTTGTATCGTTAAAAAAAATAAATGAACGAATAATATTTTCATCTTTCACAAAAATATTTAAACATAAATTATTATCAATAACGAAAACATTTTCCATTGACTAATTATTTCAAACGATACGAACGACCATTTTTAGGAAAATATTTTTCAAATCATGCATTTTTCGCCAAAACAAACGGACATTAAGATAAGAAAAAAGGGTTTTATGAGTATTAATACTTAATTTTTGAAAACCAATAGCTTTAACTGCTAATAACTTGTGAGAGAGTTTTCTCTAAAATTTACCTCTGAGCTATTCTTGTGCCTGCGGATCATGTTTACGGATGGCCTAATTTCGGGTAGTCTTGTTTCCATGACGCGCTTAACTCGGACATGATAGAATATTTAAATATTAAATTACGTATTTATCTAATAGTTTAAGTTTTTAAAATAGTTGGCAGTAATCTCATAAAATTTTATATGGTAGAGAGCAGAGCACCTGAGTTTGAAGCTTTCTAGGCTCCTATTTGGCTCCCCAATGAAGTATTTCCACGTCTAGTATTAGGCAAAAAAAGGACCAAACTAAATGTGAGTAGGAGTGATAGAATATTGAAATAGTAAACCACAAATTCCTCTAGCAGTTTAGGCTTTTAGAACAGTTAGCAGTGACTCCATAAAATCTCACGTGGTATCAGATTTGGAGGTCCCAAGTTCAACTCTTTTTCTCCCTTTAACACCAACGGTAGATAGGAACCGAACTGTCTCACGATGTTTTAAACCCAACTTACGTACCACTTTGATTGGCGAACAACCAAAGCCTTGGGAACCTTTTCATCCCCAAAATGTGATGAGTCGACATTGAGGTGCAAATGACATCGATATGCCAAACGACTCCGTCGATAAGAGCTCTTGAATGTCATCAGCCTATTATCCCCAGCGTACCTTTGATTGGTTGAGCGATAGCCTTTCAACGGGAAAAGTGTCAAAAAAGTCCTAAATCTTTTGCATTGATGTCAATTTAGTCCTAAATCTTTTTTTGATTTCAATTCAGTCCTAAATCTTTTGGATTGGTGCCAATTCAGTCATAAACCTTTTTTTGGGTGCCAATTCAGTCCTAAACCTTTTGCATTTGTGTCAATTCAGTCCTTCGACACGTGAATATCTATTAATCGGAAGGACTGAATTGGCACTAATGCAAAAGGTTTAGGACTGAATTGGCACCAATGCAAAAGGTTTATGACTGAATTGGCACCAATGCAAAAGGTTTATGATTGAATTAGCACAAAAAAAAAGTTTAGGACTAAATTGGCACCAATGCAAAAGGTTTAGGACTTTTTTGACACTTTCCTTGCCTTCGACACAGGACTTCTGGATTACTATGGCCGACTTTCATCTCTATTCAACCAATCGATCTTGCATTTAGGCAGGCTTATACCAAGGATATGAATCATCCTTGAGGCCTAAAGTGGGAATGTGAATTCAAGCATGCCATGCCACAACTTCTTTTCAAGCAAAAACGTCCAAAAGCATTCTTCATATACAAAACGATACAAGTATGTCGCGTTGCCTAACTGTGACCTATCTCGTGTGAAGAGACTTTCTGACTGCTAGCATCTTGATAGGACCGTGGCAATGGGATTGCCAACCTCGAATCTTCGAATCACAAGTGGTGTAGAGTAGTTATGTCTCAATGCTAACGTCCTGTGATGGGAGTGAAAAATTTATGACGACACTAAGAGGGAATCGTAATCATTGATCGTCCATCCCCACCATTTTACCAATGAAAAAAAAAAGTACAATGCGACCAGAAGATGTCACGTCCTTTTCTTTGTAAGGTAAGATGCCTCCCAAAGCCGGCACATGCTCGTTACATAAACAAGACTAGTGTCTAAATACAATGTTGAAGTTGGAGGATTTTTGTTAGTGGCGATTAGACCTGGTCGACTCTGAGGCGTCGAGAATATCTCTTAATCATTGTTAGTTGTTCTTATGAGCAATGAAAGGAGGAACCTACCACTTCAAGAGCCGGTCTTTTGTCGTGATATTAGCTATATATTATGAAAAGAGGGAGAGAGAGTCATGGGCTTCACAATAATTGTGGTAGGTTCGCACATTGATGTACTCAGGGGCTATTTAGTAACCGATCAAATAATATCCGATTCTATTCTTTTATTCTCGAAATAAAAAAAGAACATAAATTTATTTGATAAATATTTTGTTTCCAGGCACAAATTTTTTTCTGAACAGAATCAAGAATCAAAGGGAACAAGAATCAGAAATGGAAAATAAATTTCTTCTTCTTCTTCTTCTTCTTGGTTGGTCTTCTTCATTTTTTCTGGCTTGTGGTCGGTCGCCGGTCGCTAGCCACAGGCGACTGGCCACAAGCTAGGGCCAGTGAGGGCATCGCGGCCCTCGCCAGATCTGGTTAGGGGGGCGGCGAGGGCAGCCCTCGCCCAAGCCGCGAGCCGCCCTTGCCGACCCTGGCCTATGGCCGGTCGCCGGCGCCGGCGACCTGGCCATGGGCCAAGGAAGTGGAAGAAAAAAAAAAGAAAGGAATATTACAAAATTCAAAATATTATTAATAAAAAGAAATTTTGTGCTGTTATCAAATGCATTTCTGCTCTTTTTATATTCTAGAAATAGAAATTTTGGGCAGTTACCAAACGCCTTCAAATGATTAGAAATTGTTTCCGAGAATGGAATAAAAAAATCATTTCTGAGCGGAAATTATTTTCAAAAACAAAATGGTTACCAAACGTACTCCCGTTCTTTCCAAGTAGTTCTCCTTCTATTTGGTCCTTCCTCGCGTCCCCCCTCGCTTGTTCGATCCCTTATTCTCCAAGTGCAAATTAGGGAAGCCCGGCACTAACACGGGCGTCCTATTGTTAACATCATCTGCATATGAACTTGTTTATGTCGAGGATATTTAGTGTCCACGCTGAAATACACATATTAGCTCACACAAGAATATTTTGTCCTCTTCAAAATAATTCCACGCCTAGTAATAGGCAAAAAAAAGACCAAACTAAGCGGAAGGGGAAGTGATGGAATTTTTAAATTTTAAACAACGCATTTATTTAATAGTTTAAGTTTTTAAAATAGTTGATTGTGGTCCTACAAAATTTCACGGAACAATGCACGAGTCCGCTAGTAATGGTTATGGATTTCGGGCCCTTGTGTCCGCTAGCAATGGTAAAGGATTTTGGGCCCATGTGCTTTGGCAACAGCGGTTGCTTACCACCACCAGCAACTAGGATACGAGAAACGACATAGGATCACGAACAGGTCCATATTGTTTGTGCCGGTTCAGTTGTTATCGGGTGGGACTGGTTTGGCCAAATTGCGACCGGTTTAAGCTAAAACGGCATAGGATCACGAACCGGACCAGAAGTCAGGCCGGCACTTGATCGAACTAGTCCATATCGTCTGTGCCGATTCAGTTGAAATCGGGTGGACTGGTTTGGCCAAATTGTGGCCGGTTTCAGCTACAAACGGCATAGGATCACGAAACCGGACCGGGAGTCGAGCCGGTACTTGATCGAACCGGTTGGATTGCTGGGCTTTGGTAGGCCTATGGGTGTAAAGCCTATCAGATATGGTATAATGATAAATTCACTAGAGAGAAATGATACATAATGCAAATATTGTATGTAAATTGCTAATAGAAAGGGCGGGCAAACTGTCTAATTTCTTTGCTTGCTTACAAATCCTTTGTCACATTACACAGAACTAAATTACATGGAAACTCCTCGTGCAAAACTTGCAGCTAAAGTTAACACACGATTGAACAGTTCCATCAGGTATCGCACCAATTCATTCTAATAGATCAAATCAATCCTATTTCAGAAAAACTATAACATTCATATCGGACCTCGCAAAAACAATCCCTTGCATACTTTTCGCATCGCGATTCGCTACGAGTCTATCTGACATGCAGACTTTCTTAACTATAACGTCTCATCGGCCAATCCGCGGCGGAAGCGCCGCCGCGAACATCCAGTGGCTCCACAGCGTTCGGCTTCATCACGCAATACCCGGACGCCTTAGAGCATGAGCCACCTCTCATCCTCCTGCAAATTTCATCACAATCATGCTTCAGGTCCGTATCTACTCTCCTTCTCACTTGCTCCCTCCTCATGAAGCTCAACTTCTCTTTACTCGCTTTCCTTCTCACTGGCACTGGCATGGCCTCTAGGCCCATCAGCTTGGCCACCACCCCTGGCTTGCACCAGATCACCCTCTCTCCTGCCAGGATTGGCGGCAAGAGGCTCGGTCTATCGTACTTGGCTTCGTTCCGGGACCAGTCACGCGGCCCGCCTCTGAGGTCCCGGTCGCAGCACACCGATCTCCTGGCCGTCGATTTCCTCTCGGGGCACTCCGAGTTCCGGAACGAGGACCGGTACATGGCGTCCTTCCCATCGAGGGAGAATCGCGGGTATTGGTTCAGCGCATTCCTGGCACACCGCAAGATGTCGGAGTTGTTCACGCAGGACATCCTCCTCTGCGGCGCACCAAAACCGCCCTCGTAGTAAGCGTCCAGCTTTGCCCTCCGGGCGATCTCTTCCTCCACCTCCAGCTGCAGTATCATCTCCTCCAGCGTGTGCCCGTTCGGAGACGACCGTCCACCGATCAGGCTCGGGGAACCGATGATCAAGGGCTCCTCCTTGATGGCGGCAGCAGTGTGGTCGGTCCTGCCTTGGCTGAGGATCGAGGTGGAGGTGTCGCCGTGGCAGAAGGTCCCCACGCCTTTCTTCATCTTGGCACCGAAGTAGTTCTTGAGGAGGAAGAAGGAGAGGTCCTTCATTGACCAAGAGGCATTGGAAGGGTTTTGAGTTCTTGGAGACGGGAGGAACGTTGGGTTTGAAGTAGACAGGAACTCGGAGGGTGTCTGGCTTGATGATGGTGATGTTCACGGAGCTCAGGAATTGTGTGAATTAGAGCGGTGTTGGAGGTTAATGTCATTCACATGACACGATGAGAAGGAGAGGAGTCACAAGTTGTTTCACTTTACATTTAGGGAAAGAAGAGGGGCTCTTATCTCATTAGGTCTGTGTGGGTTGAGGTGGCTTTAAAGACCGCGTGAGCTGAATTTGGTGGAGTGCTCTGAAACATTTACTCTGAATTTAAAGTTCTATGCCCTTTTTACGGTGGACCTGCATCAAACAGTGATGGCATTGCACGCCTTCTTGGATCATGGTTCACTGAATGGTCGTGGGTAAGTGTTTGCTATACACATTGAGTGCGATTTAGCTCGGTAAAGAGGCTTCGTTCGCGAAAAAAGAGAAATGTCCAGATGAGCCGAACGATGCTGGGAAATTAGAACGGACGGAAAAACCGGAACTTTCTGCTCCATGATGCAGATGAAGCACAGATTGGGTTCTTACAATTGAAACCTAGGGAATATGGGTTTTGATGCAGAGGAGGAAACATGACTAGGTCGCTGGACTATGATCATGCGAAAAGGTCAATACTGTTCTTGGACAAGATAACATGTCCGCATCTGACTTCCTAAGTTCCTAGTGCATGCAAAGTAACTAGTTGGCAAACGTGTTTTCCAAAAAGTACATATGAACATCTATATTTGGTTGCCTTTGAAAGTTTTAGCATACAGCACTATGCCGATACACAAAAGTGTCACGGTCCAGACTTGTGCCACTCTCGAAACCAGGGGGCGCGCATTGTCATCACACGCGAGTTAGGGGCGAACATGGGTCGAGCGGGCCGGGCCTCGAGATTAAATGTCTGAGATTTTCAGGCCCAGCCATATCCATAATAACCCTGGATCGAAATCCAGAATTTTATCTTTTAGGATAAAAAAAGTCGGGTTAGTTATTATTTTTCTGACCTTACTACAACCTATAAATTTATAAATTGCATACGGATAAATCAATCCGAGCACCTCAATTTCAATGGGGCAAAAATTTTGATCCGAATGGAGTTACGGAAGTCGCGAGTAGAATATTCAAAACTCATTCGTAGCCGGATGCCCTATGGCTACAGGTCAAGGCCATATTCGGCCTCAAAAACCATTTTTTTTTTTACATGTTTTTTCGGTTGCTTTTTCGCAATATGTACCTTACCGCGACGACTTTTTCTCGTTCGTTTGATTTTCAATTATATATGTAAATTGTTCATGACTTTATTAGCGATTCTCAAGAATAATTATTTCACATCTATTTTTTTTTTCTTTTATGTTTCGTACTTTTCAATAAATTATACTTGTTTTTTAATTATTTCGGGCTGGTCCGAACCATTGCTGGCCCAAAGATCTCGGGGCCTGAGGCCCAAACCCGCCAAAACACGAAGGAATTAACGAGGTCCAAAATTCCGGGTGGGCCTATTTGGGCCCAGAAAAATTTAATCTAAGCCGGCCGGTCGGGCCGGGTTTTCAGGCTCCCGGTCCGTTTTTGCTCACCCCTTTAATTGTTTCGAGTAAGATGGCAAAAAAAAAAAAGAGCTTGTTAGAGGTTTTTTTTAGCATAAAGCATAACCAAAAAAATTCAATTTTATTCATTCTACCTAGATGGTAACAAAAAAAAAAGAGTTAATACCATGAGAAGCCCTAAATCGATACATCTATGATAATTTTATCCCAAATTAATTTTTTAATCACCAAAAACACAAAACTTGTACATCTGTAATAATTTTACCCTCTGTTAGTTTCCATTAAATTTTACCGTTAAAGTTCTGAGTTGGATGACACGTGGCAATTGACGGATGTACCAGTTTAGGGTTTTACATGTATACCAGTTTGTGGTTTTCTGTAGTATTAATCCAATTTAACGAATAGTAAGTTTGAGATTTTTTATGGTCAAAAAATTAGTTCGAGATAAAATTGTTACGTCTATATCAATTTGAGGTTTTTTGTGGTCAAAAAAATTAACTTGGGGTAAATTTGTCACAGATATACCCCGTTTAGGGTTTTTTGTAATATTAACCCAAAAAAGAGAGATTTTATCCGGTTCTTGTACAATTGATATGCGATTACAAATTAATAAACTTCAATCGAAATACGATTACACATAAAAAAGCATTCAAAAATTTCTACCAATTAAGAAAAAGAACATAATATTCTCATAGAGTTAAGGCGTTGTCCATGCAGATTCTCGGGATTTCTGCCGATCGAGAGGAAAAAATCGATACGGAACTTTTGACGAATAAATATGTTGTTCACAAAAAGAAACTTCGAATGTGGCGGTCGGGGGGGCATTGGATCGGTTGGATTTTTCAGGAGAGGAAAATGAATTAGGAGCATATGCATTGAGACGGTATCGGTTTGGGATTTTCTTTTTGTAAACACATATATGGTACTAAGTTTGGTTAAATATGTAACGGGGTATTAGTTTGGGATTTTTAGTAGTATTAATTTAAAAAAATATTTTGTTAGAAGGCGACCCCGAGGAATTATACCGAATATTTTTTTTTTCTTTTACCGCGGTTTTTGCATAATTCCATTTTTTTTTCCTTGTCCCAAATAAAAGAGAAGCAACCTCGCCAAAAGGATCGCGGAATAAAAAGCGCAATAAACCAAAAAAAAAGAAAAAGAGAAAATTGCATCTGCAGGCTTCAAGCGCCAGCTCCTCCAATCCATCGGAGGGATTCGTGTGCAGATTGCGCTGCGCTCGTTCGCTTCTTCAGTGGTGACCGATTCCCCGATCCCCCGATCGCCGGCGATTCCGCATCGTTTCTCGCTTCTGCCGCCGGTAATCTCTCCTCCGCAAACTCCGATCTCCGCGCCGTGCATCTTCCGATTCCACAGTTCCTTCGATTCGATTCGACGCGGACACGATTCGGAAGTGGTCGCGTCGAATCGCCTTCGTCCGGCGGCGCCGCTCGCGTCCTTGTGGACTCGCGCGTCGTTCGCGGATTGAACATCCGATGGCTCGATGATTTCGCTTTTCGTCCGCGTCGAGTTCATCCGTTTGCTAGAAGGATTTTTTTTGTTGATTCGCGCGTTTTTGCTTGTTGCTTTCGATTAGAACCGGACCTCGATCGATCGGCACGTCAATTGAAGTTTCTCGTAGGTTTTCTCTGAGGCGTGAGGAGGATGAAGGAAGCTTTGGCGGTGGCGCTGATGCTGTTGGCGTCGCTGATTCCTTCGGCATCACCCTCGTCGCCTGCCACCGGCCCTGCTTTTCTCTGGTCCAGTCACTATGAACAGTGAGTTTTTCGTGTCTTCTCATGCCTTGGCACGCCAATAGAATTCAGACAGTGATTTTTGCTTATGTATGGGAAACGGCTTCTGTGACCTTGTGCCTGCAAGATCGGTTCTAACCTATCAGGTTTCGTACTTACGCTTCTATTTTGTCGGTGTGGTTATAGGATTTTAGGAATGAAAGCTTCGGAGGAAATAGTTCTGAAGACTTAGTTTGAGTAGTTTATGCTTATCCTTCATATGCATGTTTTCATCAGTTAACAGCAGGATATTCGTTTCCAGGTGAATTTTCTTACTATATCCGTGCAAATCATGCCATCACTAGTGAGAAACCGGCTGTTAACGATATTGTTGGGGACCGTGTTCTCTTAATATGAATCTGAAATCAGAAGATGAATCAATGGTTTGGACTGCTCTTACATTGTGCACCTACACTGTAGATAGATTGATGCTCACTTGATAATGCTTTGTCAATCCTTCTTCAAGCAGTGTTTCTTTTTTGTGGCAAATATACATTTGAATACTATATTGTTAATGGACGTTTCCCGAGAGAATGAACTTTAACCTTGTCCACAGTTGGCATAAAAGCAAGATACCGTATGTGGATGCCAATTTATTCTGCAATTTAGAAAGAATTGCTTCTTTCAGATCTTGTCTTTTTTTATAAAATCTCTAGCTTGACAATTACAAATATCCCTTTGTGCTTTGTTTATGTCAAAGTGCTTGCTATTATTGTCTTCTAAGTTGCTAGTTTGTGCTTCACTGGTAGATTTCTTTGTTTCCTCCTTTGATAGTGTTAGTGTGTGTGTGTGTGTGTACTTGACATTCTGTTGAGATTTTTATCCTTGGACAAAACTTTAGTTGCAAGGCCTTTTCATTCTCTGAGATACTCTTTAGTTCCTCGATAAACAAAACATGCCATGGTATTAACCATCTGGGTAGAATCTATTTCCATTGCCTATGAGCATCCAGATATTGTGCGATAAATTTTTATTGAAAAAGGATTATTTTCACCTCCTCTCCACTTCCACCATCTTAGTTTAAGACATTTAAAGCATTTATTATAGGGAACACATAGACAATGATAATGACGTATCTTTAGTGAACAACTGCCCAGCGCATGTAATATTTGTTGCATAATCTTGCGGCCCAAATAACATGCGCATTTAGGTTTTTCTCGTGAAGATGATACACAATTAGAAATTAATAAGTTCTCTTGTCCCTCTTCTCCTGAGAGTGCTTTCCCTTGACATCTGTTCTTTAGGTAGTTGTGGTTGTGGATATATGAGGAAGACAGATGTATTGATGTAATGCACACACTCTTCGAGCATTTTTTATTTTGTTTAGTGATGATGATTGGATGCTCCTCAAGTGATTGACACATCGCAAACTTTTTTCCAATATTTTCACCTGGAGAGATTTGACATATTTCTCATTAGTTTAATACTTCTCATGCCTTGTTGTCTTGCTTCCTTTCTATGAATGTCACAGGCTTTCCATTGATGGAATCAAGGAACTTGTAAATTATCAGACCATATCTCCTAAGGATCTGGCCAAGTCAATTCTTTCAAAGGGCGGGTGGTCGGACTTCTTGGTACTTGATTCCTGTGCTGTGATTCTTAGACTGATGATGCAATAATAGTAGCTTATATTTTATTTCTTCTCAGAATTAAAGAAAGAAGTCTATTGTTAGATGCTGGTTTACTTATTGCTTTGTACTTTTCCGTTCCAATGTAGTGCTTGGGAAAGAAAAGTCAGCAGCCTGTGGATGTCGCTCTGGTTTTTCTTGGTAGAGAGGTTAGAGTTCTCAAACTTATTATAGTTTGACTTATCATTTAGAATAGTGGAATTCCTTTTCCTTAGCATGCATTAAACTTTGGTTTTTTGCATATGATGCATATAGTTTTCCCTCCATTAGGCATTTGGTATATAGAAGCAAATGCTTAATAATGTAGTTTGACATGTCATTGATTTTACGATGCCCTGCAAACCTCTTAATATTGACTTTGTGTTGCTCATTTTTGTTATGTTACATTTATTTTCCAATAGGTGCAATCTTTGGATATCTCTGCTAACAGCCATGCGGATCCAGCTCTAGTAGACTTGCTTAAGGTAAAGAAGGCCTACTTTGTAAAATGGATATTGTGGCTGGAAATCAATCAGACTTTGAATGATTCAATTGTCCAATTAATCCATAATTCAAACCTTAACAGGTCTCTTTCACAAGGTCTAATTTTTCAATGGCGTTTCCCTATGTTACTGCCATTGAGGAGGAGACAGTGGAAACTTCATTGATATCTGGTTTCACCGAAACTTGTGGACAAGATTTAGAGACCAGTAGCATTGCTCTTCTGGGATCATGCTCCTTAAAGGGGGACAATTACCATAAACTTTCTGACCTGGAATCACTCAATGTAAGCTGAACAATCATTCAAGCTTGTAGTTGTAGATTCCATGACTCCTACGAATTACTTATGTCTCTGTTCATAATGATGAATAGGATTATCTAGCCTCCAGAAAGGAAAAGAGACCTGAGGGGAAGGCAGATCTTGTTATGTTTTGCCATGAAGCACCTGGTCTTTCGCCTGAATCTGATGTACTGCCTTCAGAAAGTATGGGTTTTAAGTTTTCAAAAGTAAAACTTTCTAATAAAGATCATTGTAATAATATTAGTTCTTCAATCGACTTCTCCATACTGTACTTATTTCCCTGAAGAATGCTTAGAAGTAATTTTTATGAGCTTTGCAGGTGAAATTTTCTCTGAACTTCTTCTATCCATGGAGCAGTCCGGGCAGAAATTCGCTTCTCTCTATGTTTCACGTCCTTATAGTAATCCTTCTCTTCGGGAACTAGAAAGGTTTCTTGCTGAGGGCAGTGCTGGAAATGCGTCCAATTCAACATGCGATGGAGTTTGCCAGATCAAATCATCACTCCTAGAAGGAGTTTTAGTTGTAAGTTCTTGCAGGTTTTCCTTGATGTGCTTACACCTTTGTCTTTGAACGTCGCATTATTCCTTTTGAAGTTTCATGCACTGTTGCATCTTTATAGCGCCCGTCACATGAGAGATGTATTGTTTTAGGCTCCATTGCTGCTGTACCTATCATATATGGCAACGATTAGCATGATGTGATAACCCCCTGCCTATTTCTGTTGAATTCTATTTTGGCTTTTCATTTTTTGCTAGAATTGGAGTCTGTCCATCCTGCATGACGAGCAACTCCAATGCTATCATATGCATGCGTGTCCCCTTAATTGAAGTCCAAATGCATTGTCGAAGTTGAAACAGTGCAGCTAAAAGTAGGACACTTATGATGTGTCTGGCACCTAAACGGCAGCATCTAAAAAGTCACACAACACATTCATATATCAACAATCGCATCAATGCATGTAAACTTAATTTTTTGTTTATGTTTAGTAGAGATTGCTCTTTTTCTCCCCCAACCTCAGCCTCATAACTCTTCATCTCTTTCAAAGTATCACGTCCTTATACCGGTGCTTCTCTGATGGTTCAGGGGCTTGTGTTGCTTGTAATCTTAATATCCGGCCTCAGTTGCATGATGGGCATTCAAACTCCAACAAGATTCGAGGCGCCTCAAGAGTCATGAGTTCTCGGTTTCAGTAATTTGTCTTGGCACTGTGACCGCTGGATGTTTAATGAAAAGGTGCTCGCTAGTTAATATATTTGTAATAGCCTGTCCATCTGCTTATATTCGTTACATGGTCCGTTCTTGTATCTGGCATTTTAATGTAGTTTGGTCGCTTTTTACCCTTCGGATCACTTAATTTCTATCCCAGGAATGATAAATGAGTATTTGAGGGCCTGTAGATGAAAGAACTATTTCAACTTGTCTGGATTGATTTTTACTTTTTGCATTGATCTAAATCTCACAACCCACACACTTTGTATTTTCTATATCCAAAGCTCCCGAAACTTTTACAATTCTCACGTATCAACACTTTTTCGCATAACGATATTTTCATAACTTTGTGAAATACAAACAATGTTATAAATTCGACTGGAAGTACAACAATACTTTCTGTTTTTGCTTTAAGTGTAAAAATACTTTAAGCTATCTTGGATAAGCTGGGTACCTTCAACTTTTTTCTTGCTGAAAAAATAAATCCGGTGTAAAGAAATATGGTAAGTAACTTATGTTTGTGAGCCATTTGGGGACTATTTCTATTCGTGTGTACTACGCACCATTTTATTGTCTCAAAAGCCCGTTCGCAGCACAGGCTTCTTAGCCAGTTCATATGTATGAGTCCTGCAAAAGTGAATGCTGAAGAGTGAAGATATAATGGGAGACTAGCTTCACCATGCGATGGCCAACAAACCGAACGATCTTAGGTTTTGACTGGACTCTGCTGTTTTGGACATGGAAGAGTGCCCTAAAGCCAAGCCAGATTGAAGTTAGTTTGCTCCACCAGCTCCTCAAGTGCTGTTCCTTACACCCCCTTACCGGTTTGGCCGATATGAATCGCCGTCGAGATGTCCCTCTTTCCGAATGTTACCCGATATGCCTGAAACGATAATCAATTGAAAAGGTGAGCCGGGATAGAGATTTACTGGGAACAGATAACCATGATACAAATTAGACACCACCAACAGCTGAACATTATGAATTTCCACAAATTACTACCCCGTGGAGTGGATGCAGCGAGAATAGTAGAACTCCAACGGCAGCCTCCACTTATCGAGCTTGAGCATAGTTATCAGAAGTGAATACGGATTTCCAGGCTTAGGACTGTCAATTTATCGGCATCTTTACGAGTTTGAGGCAGCAAATCATGTAAACTCATCTGGACCTCCATCCGCCCTCATTTGTCCGTTTATTGCGTGCAGTACTTCGTTAATCACATCCACCGGGTGGTTTGACCAGTCTTCCGCTGCAAATTCATGAACTTGGTTGTTCAGTTCTATAGAACTCTTGCCGGGCATCTTCTCAGTGCCGATGGTCCTCATCGCCTTCCTTATCGACCCAGATTCGTTCCACCTTCCCAGACCGGCATATATGTTAGACAGAAGCGAAAAATTACCGCTGTTCTCAGGCTCCAAGCGCATCAACTGCTGCAGAGCCCGTTCTCCAAGATCAGGATCGCCATAAATATTAGAAGCAGCAAGAAGCGATCCCCATATAGCGGCATTCGCTTCAAAAGGCATGCTCTTGACTAGCCGCTCTGCCTCGTGTAAATAACCACCCCGTCCAAGTAAATCGACCACGCAGCCATACTGCTCGATCTTCGGGACGATTCCGTACCTCGAGGGCATCGCGGTAAATAACCCTCGACCCAGCTTGGTCATTCCACTGTGGCTACAGCCAGAGAGGACCGCCGTGAAAGTGATCTCATTGGGCTTGATTTTAGCCCTTTCCATCCTCGAGAACATTTCGAGGGCTTCTCTTCCCATGCCGTGGATGGCCATTCCCGCGATCATGGTCGTCCAACTCACTACACTCCTCTCCGTCATGCCTTCAAAGACTTGGAGAGCCTTCCCAATGTCACCTGATTTCGCGAACATGTCTATAAGTGCATTGTTAAGCTGCGCGTTTCGATTTAACCCGTGCCTGTCAATGTAGCTATCAATCCATTCCCCCAGTGCGAGCGCGCCCAGCTGCGCGCAAGCGGACAGCGCCGCAAGCATCGAAACTTCATCCGGCTCTATGCCCTCCAGCAACATTCTCTTAAAGACTTCAACCGCCTCGCTCGGCCTATTCCACTGAGCATATCCTCCGATCACAGCAGTCCAAGAAATCAAATTCCTCTCGGGCATTCGCTCGAACAACTCCCGGGCACTCTCCAAACATCCAGCCTTGGCATAACCAGCGATCATCGCATTCCACAGCGCGACGCACCGGAAATTCAACGCATCAAACACCTTGCGCGCATCGGGAACGCACCCGCACGAGCCGTACATCCGGACAAGTGCCGTGGCCACGTGAGCATCCGACTCCAACCCAATTCCTACGCTCTGGCAATGAATCTGTCTCCCTACTTCGATCGCGGACAACCGAACCGCAGCTCTCAAAGCGAAAGCGAAAGAGTAAGAGTCGGCCCGCAGGCCCGAAGCCCGAATCCCGCCGAACAGACGGACGGCCATCTCGGCGGAACCGGCGTCGGGGAGGGCCCTGATCACACTGTTGTAGAGGCGCAGATCGGGGTCGGCTTTGCGGGCGAAGACTGCCATGGCGTAGTCGGAGAGACCCAGGGAGAAGCACCGGCCGATGAAGTGGCGGAGGAGGAAGTTTTCCCGGTCGAGGCCCCTCGGGACCATGAACGCATGGGTCCGGCGGAGGCGCCTCAGGTCACCGCACCGGCGTAGCAAGGAGAGGAGCGACGGAGGTTCCGGCGAGGCGGCGGACGGGGACGGCGGCGATCTGGGGAGGAAGGGCCGGAGCATCTCCGCTGTTCTCCGTTTGTTTTTTTTTTTTTTGTCGGAAACGAGTGTTTTTAAACATGTTTTCTTTGATCAATTGTTTAATTTGAAATAATTAGTTAATAAAAATATTTTCATTATCGAGTCTAAACATTTTTATAAATGTTGTTCATTCATTTTCGTAAACGATGCAAGCGATCATTTTTAAGGAAATATTTTTCAAGCATTCACTATCCGCGAAAGACACTGATAATGATTGTCGATTTCTTTTTCACTATATTTCTACAAAGTATCGGTCTTTTCAAGACTTTATCTGGTCGTTTAGCTCTTTGTGATTCAAATTGGTTTAGTTAAGATTTAGTTAGGTGGGGTCGATTGACTCCACTCAAGACACAAACTAACCACATGTGCCATACTAACCCATTTATGATCGGCTTTCAATTCGGACGACTCGATTCTCGAGACTAGACAAAGAGATTTGGGCAAGAGGAGTTATTGTAAATTACCTCGATCAATATTGTATTCTTACATTACTATCAAAATATGATGCTAAATAACTCAAATTATTATTACAAGGCACACTTGCCAATGATTCAGATGGATTTGGTTTACGTAATCTATTATGATATGATATTATTACCGGCAGGAAGCTCATATTTGAACGGTACCTGAATTTTTTTCAGGCGAATATAAGTTAGACATCTCACTCATCACTTGCTTACTTCTATATCTTTTTTTTTTTATCTTTATTGCAAAATACCATTCCGATATATCTTAAACAAAGCCCCGTTTTCGAAAAAAATCAAATCGCCATTTCTTAGGAATCCATCCTTCACATCTCCTTTAGGGTCCGGGTTTTCAATTGATTTCGAGTGATTTGAACGAGAGGAAGCTCATATTTGAACGGTACCTGAATTTTTTTTCAGGCGAATACAAGTTAGACATCTCACTCATCACTTGCTTACTTCTATATCTTTTTTTTTTTATCTTTATTGCAAAATACCATTCCGATATATCTTAAACAAAGCCCCGTTTTCGAAAAAAATCAAATCGCCATTTCTTAGGAATCCATCCTTCACATCTCCTTTAGGGTCTGGGTTTTCAATTGATTTCGAGTGATTTGAACGAGAGCGAGCACCTATGATCCAGAGAGAAGTACACTCTTTAAGGGGAACAAAAGAGTTGACATTTTCGCAAGTTTGGGACACGGGACGATAGACATTGTAAAGTGGTCTCCAAAGGATAAATTATGCGGTCCATATTGTCATGATTGTACATGAATTTTCTCGTAATTATGCAAATTTTTTGGAATGTCCCCATCTTTCTTTTCTAATTACGGTCCCCATCTTACCGCGGAGCCTCTGGGCGACTGCCACGTGTCGCCGCGCTGTTTTTTTTAACCGCCTTTTCGGCGGTCTCCTGTAACTCTCCTCGGACAGTAACCGAAGGCGACGAAGGCGACGAAGGCGGCGACGGCGATGGCGTTTCCGCCCGCGTCGGGTCGTTAAGTTGATCGCCGGATTTCAGGTTCCCTTCCCGCTCCGGCCGCCGGAATCGCGGCGTCGGGATCGCCTTCCGATCCCGTCCGAGCGCGTTCATGGGTCCCCCATTAACGGAGGCGGGCAGATCGGTCAAAATTTGTCGAGCAATGCATGCGGCTCAGACCATGGCGATGGTGGGTGGGATGATGGGGGAGGAGGTGAAAGTCCGAAGCCGGACCGGAACCCACCAGCTCAGCAAGTGAGCCGGAGCGGCGGCGGCGGCGGCGGCGGCGGCGGCGACTTTTGTCGCGTTTCGGTGGGAATTGGATAATAACTCTCATTCGGATAGAGGAGAGAGAGAGAGAGATGGGGGGAGAGAGGAGAGAGGAGAGAGAGTGTGCGTGTGTCAAATAAAAGCTCTGATTTTTAAGTTAAAATATAAGACGCAAGAGGCGTTCACACCCGGCCGTGGCACTTGGTCGCCTATCTTCTTCTTCGCCATCATGTTCCCCAATTCCCGTCCGAAGCCCTAATTAGCAACAGGGGCTGCGGCGTTTCGGTGGCAGCTGCGTCCTCCGCCTCGGCCCTGCGGCTCTGCTAGGCTCGGCGATTTCGTTACGAGCCGCCGCGACGAGACGGGTCGGCGGAAAATTCGGAATCTTGCTTGATTTCGCTTGTGGGTTTGTTCCCGAAGGTGGGAAATTCTTGGGGGCGGGGTGCGTTTGTAGGAGGTGGGTGTTTTTTGTGGGGGTGGGGAGGGAGGGAGATGGAGGGGAATTCAGGTGGTGGTGGAGGAGGAGGTGTTGGTGGTGGTGTTGGTGTTGGTGTTGGTGTTGGTGTTGGTGTTGGTGTTGGAGGAGGAGGAGGGAACGACGTGGAATTGATGTGCAAGACGCTGCAGGTGGAGCACAAGCTCTTCTACTTCGATCTGAAGGAGAACCCTCGCGGCCGCTACCTCAAGATCTCCGAGAAGACGTCGGCCACCCGGTCCACCATCATCGTGCCCTTCTCCGGCATCTCCTGGTTCCTGGATCTCTTCAATTACTACGTCAATACCGACGACCAGGAGGCCTCCAGCAAGGAATTGCAGCTTGACACCAAGGCATTGCTTTTTATATGGGGCCATTCTGTTTCTTGTGTTCTGTCGTTGTTGGTGTTTGCATTGCTTGAATTGCTTGTTGTTGGTTGCAGGTGTTCTACTTTGATGTTGGCGAGAATCGGCGGGGGCGGTTTTTGAAGGTAATTCTGCGCTTAGGTCTTCATTCGTTTGGGTTTTTGCTGATGATTGGACTTGTGGTTTTTTAATTTTCCTGTCATTTTGATCTGTGGCTTTATCTCCTCTGCTTATTGGTTCTAATATGACTTCGTGTATAGCCTATAGTTCTGGGATTGCCTTGACCTGGCAATTCATTTTCTTTTGATATAATTAGGTGAAGTATGAACTTTTAAAAGGTCATCCACAGTCCGAGTTCCTTGCCACTGTCGTTAAGCACTTTCGATCTTACGGTAAATTGTGCCTTGTGCATACTGCATTCTTAAATTTTGACGAGCGAGGGTTGCGTTCAGTGATGGGGCATGTTGCTCCAGAGTGAACCTTAATCTGCACCGAATGTTTTGTACCTTTTAAATGCTTTTGATTGGTGGTGTTTTCAAAACATTATGGTTTTTTTAAAGTAATAATACAACAATGCTAAATAGATTTTCTAAATGCAGGATCTTTTTTAGTTTATTCCTCTAGGAAGAGTAAGTTTCTTTTCCTTTTGATAGTTAACATCTTGCAGGCTTAGTAGTTGGCGCAACTTTAAAGTTTTTGTCTGGTTCCCGTTATTGTTGGATTATACTTATGAACAGTCTAACTACATGGAATGGCAGGGGACCTCTTACAAATATGGAAGTTTGTTATCTAGGTCTAGAGAAGAGTAGAACTATATAATTTGATAAAATGAAAGAGTTCCTGATTGAACGACTCAATGGATAATAGACATGGACCTACAATATAGTGTTCCTCTCTATATTCACACACTAAATTAGTGCCAAAACTCTTAATATGGTGCATGAAATCCTGACAGTTTTTCGTGCTCTGACTAGTATTGTTTGACCTGCATTGTCACATACATGTATTTAGCCCTCCTGGATTCATATTTGCAAATCTACATAAATGCTGCTTGACTGAAAAATTCTGCAATCTCAGCCGTTGCAAGTCTTGTCCTGATATGTCCAGCTTGCAGCTAAGAATGTAATCCTGAACCATTATCTAATTAGAATGCATCTGAAATGTCTTAATGAAAAGACCAGTAGGATGATTAGAAAGGTAGACTAAAAGGTTTTTTTCCAGAAACTGAAAAACTTTGTTGGGAAGAAGGATGATTCCAACAAGATTTAATGCTATTTTTAATCAATTTTTTATAACAAATCAAAAAGACGTGAGACTACATATAAAGTGAACATTTACCAGTCAAATGATATTGTTTGCTTTTTCAATAGGTAAAAAGAAATCGTAAATAAGATTTCTTGCTATGAACTTGTTCTTTTCCCCTGACCTAACTAAGTGAGATTTGCACATTAAAAGTTTAGTCTCTTTTATAAGTTTGGCTGCAAAGACATGGATCATAATCAGTTTTAATCATCATCTGGAATTTGCAAGCTTCTGCTACATAGCACAACCTTATCACCTAGATGTTTAGGATTAAGGAAACAATTTTAATGCAGCTATACTTCCTATTATGTGAGATGCTTTTGCAAGTTTATTTTGGAGGTTATTTTCTCATCCAGGAGTAGTTGGTCCATGAGCTGTGTGGTAGGGTAGTGTCTTCATGTATCAGGCAGCTAGGAATGCAATTTTGCTTTTATGATCATTCCCACTGGCACAACTGTTATTCTTGCTGAAAGGATGAACTATGGTTTCCAGAGGCATGGTCACAGCAGTATGGAATGGAAAGTAGGATAAGGAATATTGGTCATCTAAAATGCAGTAAGATAGGGGCAGCCTTCCATGGATGAATTAGTTGGAATAAGAGACATCGCTAGATTTTTTTTGACAACCAGATATGCCCTATATGCCGGAATCTTTGGTGAAAGGGTCATATTCTATGGGAATTGAGAAGCTCCTCTTTGAGGATATTTGGAGACCTAGCGTTGAAGTATCAGCAACATATCATTATGAAAGTCAGGCAATTGCTTTTCTTTGAAAATAGCATGATCGTCGATATTAGTTGTTTGGATATCTTATAGTATATAAAATTGAACGAGTATTTCAGATCTTAAATGGTTGGGGAATTAGTAGACACTGTATCTGTTGTCTGCATGCGAGATAGAGAAAGCATTAGGAAGAGGACTTAACTAGTTGGTAACGATTGGATGCCACATGTTTGCAATGGATGGAACTTTTTAACTAGTCTTCTTGGTTGATTGGGAAGGATTATGAGTCATCCTGCTAAAGGTTGTGGTGAAATGCAGATGAAATGAGAAGATTGGTTGCTTCAAGTATTCAGGCATGTTAAGATTCATTATGATTTTCTTTCAGGTGTTAGTACTAGCAATCCTGTGCCAGCAGCCAATGCTTGAA